GCTAAGCGTAAAATAGAAACATACCATTTCTGCAATCACTCTGTCAAACCTTTAGCCAAGGCAAGCTGCTTCAAATCCAAGAGTAACTTCAAAGCATTCCTGAGGACGAAAGCAGAAATAGGAGGGGCAGGTGGGGACCAAGACTAGTTTAAAAAGCAGAGCCCTCAGGGGACAGGGAAAGGAACAAACCGAGCCACCTGGCCACAATTTGAGGAGAGAAACTATACAAATGACTAGTCAGCTGTCCACTGTTTCTGCCCTGCCAGGCTCACAAAGTAAAGAACACACACAAAAACCAAACACACACCCACCACGAGCCACCCCCATCACTTGCGTTGATCTCAGACGAGGAGCCTCACGCAAATGCTGCAGCCTCCGCCTCTGCGCTCCTGCTGCACACCAGCCCCTCAGTACTACTTGTACTCAGTTCTCACCTACAGATCTCACGTATCCAGAACACAGGGCAGCCACTGTCCTAAAGAGAGTTTGTGCCGACGGCTGACGAGACGGAGCACGGGAGGGCAGGGAAGGACCCTACACTCCCTTCTCAAGCCACGCAGGAGGCTAACCATAGTCCCTGCTGAAACTCGGGTCTTGCCTCACTCCTGGCTGTCTGAGCCACAGCCCTCCCTTTCCAAAAGGCTGCAGAGACTGGAAAACTAAAGACAGACATGCACCAACCGTAACAGAAAAGAAAGCTTTGTTCCCTAACTGTTTACAACTGCCCGGGGTGAACCTGTGCCCCAAAGGCCCCGATGTGCAGCAAGAGGTCTCCCTTACCCATCAGCCCTATTCTCAGCCTCGCCTCCCAGCTTCTTCGCTTCCTTCCAAGAAGGATTTTCCACTTCACAGCTCCCCACTGTGCTGCTCCACAGCTACTCTGTGGTTGTCTCAAACACCCCAGGGCTCGCTACTCGAAAGCGGAAACCTGCTGCGAGAGAGGCGGCAGCGCAACCAGCACGGCTCATCGGTACCTGGGGTGCTGCCTCCTTTTTCATGGAGCCCTCAACAGGCCAGATGCCTTATTCACCAGTCCAAAAGCGAACAAAAGCTCATGGTCAGCCAGCTGCAAGCAAGCAGGTCAGGCCTATAAATCTCTCTCCCAAGTATCTTTAAAGTTATTGCAAATTGAACATAAGAATAGATTCTCAGGGGGAAAAAAAAAAACCAAACAACTAAATGCCAGAAGACTTGCACATATCTGCTTTAAAATAGTTACTTTTGCCAATTATTTCATAGGCTGGAGATTTAGGGACTGATGCCTTCAGAGACCTCACATTGCAACAGTCTGGGAGTATTCAGAAGAGTTCTTCTGCACAAAGCTGGGAAAATACCCTCAATACTGTGACGTCAGAAAAATGAGTAAGTGGGAAAACTCAGTGCTGGGAACTTGATGCTTAAACTTGTCCTCACTTTACGGTCAACAGGACTCCTTGAAAGAGTTCACCTCAGGCTTATGAGTTCGCCAGCCTTTTCCTTCTAGAGCTTTTTAAAAAATGTTATGTAAGATTGACAATTACACGAATAAGTCAATTTAGTGGTTGTAGAAATCACAGTAACGGTCAGGTAGTGGCCAATGAGAATGGCCCACGGCAGAAGTTAACTGTTCCCTACCACAGTGGGTAAGAAGGTGCATACAGAGCCAGAGGGATCATTCAATTCATCCTAACGTTCGAAAGGAAACATTAAATAACATTTTCAGTAAGGTTGTTGGAGACCTGGCTGGAGGGAATAAAAAAGGCAGAAATAGACACAGAGTGACTTAAATTTGTTTTGAAGATCTTTCACCAAACAAGATGTACATTTTTCTCAGCCTCCCTGTACCCTGGGGCTCTGGGACCCCAGCCCTGTCATTAGCAGCTGGGAATACGTAGAGAAAAACCACTGTCGGGTGCCACTGAACCAGACAGATGGGCTCCCAAAATCCAATTCCCTCCTCTAACAGGCAAACATGGACTGAAGGAGGAGGGCAGAAGGGCAGGTAGCAGAGCAACATGGCACAGGGCTGGCCTCATGGCAGCACAGCAGCCCCAGAGCCATGGGGCTGGGGCCACTCCATGCCCGTACAGCTGGTGGGACCCCAGCCCAGGACCGGCCATGCATCCTGAAGCGTTGCTGGCGCAGGCAGCAACTCTTCAGCAGGTCAGGTTGGTGCAGGGCTCCGTGGCCACCTGCTCGCTCCTGGCACAGAGACAGCCTGCTGCTGAATGCCGGCATGTGGCTCCATTCCACGTGTGTCCATAGCATGTGTGCACGCATACATTCAAGTGTCATACACGATCCTCCTCACTAGACTGGTTTCTACTCCCAGGTCTGCAAGATCATGAAACCCTGCCACGGAAAAACCATGAGAACAGGACAGCTGAAAGAGCTCGCCATTCTGCCCAGCGAGGTGGTTACCTGGAGAACGTAAATTTTTTGCACATCCTTTATAGAAGCCCCTCAGTTAACCTTGTTTCTCAACCTCTGCCACTCAACAAATCCAATCCTGGTTAACCAGCAGTGGGAGACCATGCTGGAGCATATGGACCTCCCCCCTCTGCACCCTGTACCTCCTGCTCCCAACAGCTGTCCCCTTGCTCCACCAAGGGGACTGGCATTCACCAGAGCTGTCGGAAGCACCGCGTACCTCCACCACCCAGCAACAGAGGTGCTTTCAGTCTTCAGTGCCAGATCCTGCAGTACTGCCACCCACAAAATTTCCCCTCTCCCTCTCACAGACTCAAGGACTGAAAAATCATCAGGGTGATGCCTTTGGATAGCTATCAGACAGCCACATTAATGGTAATTCTGCAATTTCCTCAAGTATTTCTCTGAGCTTCACTGTTTTGAAGTCGATAGGTATTGAAAGGTTGTGAGCGTGGTTCCAGGGTTAAGATTAAATAAAATCCCCAACACCAAGAACAACTCCTTCTCCTCCTCCTCCTCTCTTATGAAACACCCTACAGAGTGAACAGAAGATGAAACGCTTTTTTGTTCTATTTTTAAACCCACTTGTTAATGTTTCTTGGCTTTTTGAAACATAATTTGACTAGAACTCTATTAATTACCCAGTGGTCTCAGCAGCATGAATTTTTTCAGGATTCTTCCCCAAAGGAAACTCCCCTCACTTTTAGCCTAGTTTGAAGCTTCTGTCTATTAACTGCCAGAGAAGCTTGCTTTCTGAAGTTTCTTGTGTTTGTTTCTCCTGTCACAACAAAAGATTTTCTCTCCTGTATGTATTAATATAAAGATATTCACATAAACCAGTTAGGAAATAAAAAACGGGAAGGCTTTTTGTAGATGATGTTTCCAGATCATCTCCAAAATGCTGTCTCACCTTGAAAAGCCTTCTCATAGGTTTTATTAGTTGTCTTCTTGTGAAATCTCTAAGAGATTCCACCTTGTTTTAAGAAAGCGCTTTGGACTACAAAACAGGCAGCCTTTGAAAACTCCTGTCCTGGTCGGTCTTCATAAACAGCTTAGTTTGTTAATGCTTAGACATAAATACTCATCTCTCTCTCTCCCTTTTATTGTGATACAGCTTAGTACTCTACTGCTTTTCACTGAAAAGCTAATGTTGAAGACATAAAACAATTATTAGGAGTGAAAGTCTGCCATGGTGATTATTCCTAAGTTACTAGATATTCACAGCCTTGCTCCTTCACCAGCCACTAGCTTTTACCTTGAATTCCTCTGCCTACCAGCAGGCACCTTCACACCAGAACAAGCAGGTTGTGCTCTCTTCCTCCCACCATTCCTTCATTTCCCTTTTTTCCCCTCCAGATGTTTATAATTGCTGAATTAAAGACAATTGCTAAAAAACGCTGTTGGTTTCATCATTTTCTATGGATCACCATTTCCCACAACCACAGAATCTATAAAATTGCAGTTATGTCTTTACAAGATCACTAGTGACTTCTTGATGCGCATTATTTTTTTCTTTGCCTTTTTTTTTATTTTCTGAAAAGGAAAAAAAAAAACTAGGACTTCAGCAAGAAAGGATTTAAGACTGGGGCAGCATCTGAAGTTACATTCCTACACATATATTTAGAAACATAAATAAGATGATCTGATTTTCATTTTGGGATACCAAAAAGCTCCAGGTACTCACTTCTGAAAAATAAGTGTGTTTTAAAAGGTTGGTTTGTTTTTAATAACCTGAAAATTTCAGGTTTTTAATAAACCTGAAAATTCAGGTTTTTAATAAACCTGAAATCACGTAGCTTTGAAGGGACGTCTGGAGACCATCTTGCCCAGCTCCTCATTCAGAGTATGGCCAATTTGGAGCAGGTTGCTCAGGGCCTTGCCTAGCTCAGCTTTGAATATCTCCACAGATAAAGACTTCACATCCTCTCTGGACACCTGCTCAAATGTCTGACTCACTCTCATGGTGAAAATTATTCTCCTAACACCCAACTGGAATTTCCTTATTTGCAATCATTACCTCTTTGCTATTACTGTGTATCTCAGAGGAGTCCAGCTCTGTCTACTCTGCACCCTTTCATCAGATAGACACAGACAGCAATAAGATCTCCCCTTTGTCTTTTCTCCAGAAGACCAAACAAAACCCACCTCACCCTTTCCTTACATGTCATGTTCTACAGTACCCAGTCTACATGGTGGTCCTCATTTGACTCATTTGGTTTATCAGTCTCCATTTATCTTCAACAACCACAGATTCAGATACATAGAAACAAGTGTATTTCTGGCACTTCTCCCATTTCTTTTTGATGGGCTCTTTACTTCTAATTCAGAATGTTTACAGTGAGAAGTTTGTAAATTCTGCTGAGCACCATTTCCCTGTCTATGGACGAGTTTCTTCATTCACAACACCTACAGACTTAAAACAAACAAATCCCTTCTGAGATTTCATTGTAGGTATTCAATTAGCACAGAGCATTCACATACACCCTTAGTGCATCATCACCCCATCAGGAACATTTAATTACTGCATCATCACAAAACAAAAAAGGGCTCAGTGCATCAACATCAGTAGGTTTCACACCCCTCAGTACTACCTTCATTGAAGTTGTCATCGGTCGAGATGTGGGTCAAGGGAGACTGGGGTCGAGAGTCCCCACAAAGGGAGTAGCTGTGTTCTGCCTGGATGAGGGGCGCTGGGGATGCCGGAGACAGTTCCACTTCCATTATTTCATTCTTTTCAGACAAGAAGGGATCATTCAAGAGCTGGCCTAGGACATCTGGTGAAAACTCATCCAGGAACTCTGTGAAGTGCTGTAGAGATAAAAAGGGGGGGAAAAGTTTATCTCCTTGCCTGTCTGTCATGCCAACAACAGGAGAGCATTGATCAGAACAATTCCAGTATCTGCACTGGGCAGCCGTGCCAGTCAGCAGCAGGATCTACCAGCCCTGCCTAAGGACCTCCTCTTCCAATCACTACTTCAAGCTGAAGAGCTACAGCTAGAACAAAAGTCCTCTTAGACACATACATTATAACAGAAGAGCCTGTGATTAACTTGCAATGAAAGCAGAAAATAGAAGCATGGCAGTCATGTTCTGAAGCAGCCTCCTTCCTCCCGTCCTCCCCCTAAAAGGTACTCATTACAGCATGCCACCAAAAACAGGAAAGCACATTTCACCCAGACAGCGTGAAAGATCCTGCAGGACTTATCACCAGAACACTTCGTGTGTGGAATAGAATATATTGGGTTAACGTTCACTGAAGCAGAGAAGAAAAAGGAAGCACAGTCAGGCACAGACCCTGTCACCACGTATGACTGCTTCAGCTGTGCAGAACATACAGTGCGCTCTAGGAAAGCGGGTCCACACACGTCCTCAGCCAAGCAAGTAATGTATTTGCTATAAAACAAGTTTTCTGGCTGATTTATGTATCCATTTTAGAAGCTGCATTCCACCTAGGACCAGAGCCCATACCCAGCTTCCAGGCCCCACAGCTAGAGCTTCTGACAGACAGTACTAATTACAACTTTATTGATTACACTGAATTCATTACACTGACAGCACATGTTATGGCTGTATGTAGTAGGATAAATTTGTGTTTGTTTCTTATTCAAAATGAGCACAAACCAATTCTCCCAATCTACTTCCTAGAGATTCCAATGCAGTTCCCATCAACAGCCAAAAACTCTGCAGTGTTTCTTGGGTTTGTTTCCAATGTCAGAAGACTACATCTTT